GTCTCTAGATATTATATAACAAATTGTAACAACATTTGGAAAATCTGCCTAATTCAGTGAATTACTATTGTTCAAATAACCAATGCATGATGTTACAAAATCTTGCATAGGTAAGTAATCCATTGACAGTATAAAATAAACCAATAGATTTTAAGGTGAAGGCTATAAAATGTTCACTGATAGGGTTTCAGATTCCATATTGTAACTAATCTTCATCAAACTCCCAGTTCTATAGTTTTTATTCTTCCAAAATAGAATATTCACATTTATCAGAGACTACAATTTAAGTAGTACTTTCCTTTCCATCCACATATTGGTATGGGACTGCATTTTCCTCAAATACTTTAATCAAAGCAACAGATTGAAAAACTGAAGACAATAACTGTTGAAGATTCCAGTTCTTTTCTATTAAACATATTACAGAGATTTGTGATATGTAATATAATGTCACTCTTCTAGCTTTTTAAATGATTTTTAATTAAAATATGTAATTTAATTTAACATGTTTGTTACGGTTACTATTTTTAAATAAATTAATAATAGATATTCTTTAAACTTCTTTAATTTCTAATGAGGTGTCTGTTGATGGATATAACCTACATAAAGAAAAGTTGTATGGCATCGCCATTAATTTCAAAGTATGTGTAGGGTCTGGAGATAGTGTTTATGACAATGACTAACTATAGAACTATAGTCAAATGCTTAGCCTCAAACCCAAACAGTTAATTGGCAAGTAAATGCAAACTAGTATTAGGAAATAGCTCTGATCTGCCTTCCACAAATGTGGCAACTAAGGTAAGGTAAGGTAAAACTTTCAGGAACACATACCTACTGGGTGATAAATCTTGCTTTGTATATAACGCCTAAAGCTAAAGCTAATAATCTTCCCTTTCAAAACTGTAATTGGGTGTACATGTTTGAGCAGGGAGGGATAATTGAAAAGAAGGGTGGACAAATGAGGTATTAGCAGAAACCAAGAATCAAGTTTATTTCAGTTGTTTTGAATAATCTTTACAAATGAATTTTTCTACCCTTGCTTTTACCCAGAGTGAACAGTGATTTATCAGACCTCTTGGCAGGTCACCTCCTCATGGCCACCTCCCATGAATTCCTGAGAACAGCTGAGAAGTTGTCATTTGCAGCTGTGAAGATAGACTTTAAAACACTGAAATCTAACAAATAGAACTTGAACTTACTACAGTATTATGAAATATATCTGTGGCAAAATCACTCAGAAGAATATTCAAAATTGTTTTCATTTTTGAAATGAACTCATTGCCAAATTATTAACACCCTGTGAATATAACCTTGACTTGAAGAATTCTGGAATTTCTTAAATAATCTTTTTTATTTCATTTTGGAGACCACATAGGTATACAGTCATGAAACTTTCTAAGTCCATTTTTACTGAAATCACAATGAAAAGATAAACAATAGAAAAAATGAAAATAATGCATAAAGCGAAACTTGATCAAAGTTAATTTCTAGGAATAAATATAGAATCATTTAATAATTTCAAAGACCTACTTCTAAGTACTTGTTAGAATATTTTAACTTAATTATCTTTGAGATTGCAAAAGTGAAAAAGTACAGTTTTTAAAACCTATGACTTTGGTTTTTCGTTCTTTTCACATCTATACATATTAAATATGTTGTGATTCAAATTTAAAATGTGTATACTATTTGAACCAGCAATTTCATCTTGGATATTTTCAAAAAAAAAGTTTAACTGATAGAATAAAGATAGGTCAAATATATTAATTGCAGCATTATTTATATTATCAAAATTATGAAAATGCAATATATTAGTTTGGAACAAAAATGGCAGTTAATAAATTTTTTGCAGGAGACATGCGTTTTTAACAATTTTAAATAAAAATTAATGCACATATACCGACTTCAAGGACATATAATTTTATGGAGTAACACTAAACGATTGTAGAACTATTGAATAAAGAAATGATTGTTTATTTATGTCTCCATTGTCCAATATGACTTTGTTCTCAACTACCAGAGACCTAGACTCAAACCTAGAATAAAGCCATTCTGGTGGTTCAGAAATAGCCTAAACCCACCTTTGCCATGCCTACAAAATTAGATTCAAAACTTTTATAATGAGCATTCTACTCCCTCCATGATCTTATGCCAACTTATTTTTATTTGTACCCAGATGCAACAGCACCCCTCCTGACTTGCACACATGGAGTTACTGCCCCACTTCCCCATCCTCTTTCAGCTGCCATGAAACATGGTACAAAGGATTGTCTCAGAAAGATGGTCCTGTTCATTTCCCACTTCACCCCCCCCCCAACTACTTGTGCCATCTTGGGAACATTGCCTAACTTTCCTAAGCTTCAGTCTCTGCAACTGTAAAATATGGATGATAAACATGCCTATCTCATAGAGTTGTCATGAGAACTAAATAATATTTTATATGTAAAATGTTTCACCAGGTCCCAGTTTTGGTCTGTGAAGGGAAGTAATTTGTAAACAAAAACAAATCAAACTCTTTCAAATAATTTCCCTAAAATTCTATAATTGCAGTTATTTACTAAAAATGTTAGGTTGAGGATTTGTAAGTTCCCTGGTATTACTTTCCAACACTAAACTAAAAAAAAAATGGATAATAACGTTGATGTAGTCCGCAAGCAATGTCTATCCCCTTGCCTCATTATGATCTTGATGAGATGCTTGCCAATATAAAATCATGACAAAGCTATTTCATGGGTGTGCACCATGAGAAAACCACTTCAACTTCAATTTGTTTTGGCTTGGTTTCTTTCACAGGTCATTTTTTTGTTGGTTTCAAAATTCAGTGATATGTCTACTAAGTCATCTGGCCTCCTGGGCAATCATATCTTTCTGTAAAACCATCAAACTATTAATATTTTACCAAAAAGCGATCAGTAATATTAATGTAAAATTTCCTTTGATTTCAAGTTCCTCTAATATATATTTTTGTCTTTCTTTTGTTAGCTCCACATTATATTTTGTCTAATTGGCATTCAATAAAACACTCTGAAAGAAAATTGATTTTGTTATAAATAATAGAACTTTTTCCCCATACACACTTTTAACTTGGAGATAAGCTTTTGCTTTAATGTAAAGAAAAATAACAATAAACTGCAAAAGAAAGACTAGATTATGTTGATGTGAATTCTATTTACTACTAACAGGAGTACTGATTAAAAATTGAATAGTGTTAGCAACACAAACAACTTTCCACTCCATAGGGGTAGGAGGGATGAACAGAAGAGGATTCACAATTATGTTTAATCTTTATTTTTGGAACATAAATACCCATTGTATGCAGCACTTATATTTTCAGTCAAATTTCCCATATAAAAGCAAGGTTTCAACTATATGTCAGTAATTAATTTCCATTTTTAAATAAGACAGCCTGATAGAGTTAAGAATTTTCAAGGAAAATGATAACACCACTTTTCCAAAGGCTAATTCAAAACAGAATATTTAAACAGGAAAAGTCAACATTATGCTGAACCTAATACGTCCCTGTAAGAAGTTAAAAATCCTCTTATTTGGTAACTTAGAGTTTTAAATTATTTTCTGTACTTCTAGTTATAAACTAAAATAACAGCTGCATTTACATAATAAGATTTCATTTTCAAGCTGGTATTTATTTTAAAACCAGATCAACACAGGTCTTAGGTTCACAAGAAATGCCCTTCCCTGCCTTGTCAGTTCAAGGCAGATGTTTAACATTGTTCAGACATAGTGTTTTTTTAAGGTTTAATTTCCATTCAGTTCCACTTTTCAGAAGAGCAGTATTGCAACTTAGAATTACCACAACACAAAAAATCTCAGCCATATGGTAAAAGCTGATCCAAAAACAAATGAGTAACATCAAAACCAGGCCAAAAATCATGTCCAATGAACAACAACCAAAAAAACCTCTAACAATTTCAACGGAAACTCCTACACCAATTTGAATCTTAAACACGACACTAAGGGTGGGGAAGGCCATTATTATATTAACTTTGTTAAGCACTGAAAATTTGGGGACCAAGGTGAGCTTTCTATTTCCCCGTGGGAAAGATAGAGAATTTTAAAAATTACAAGGATACATTTGCTACTTAGTGATCAGTGGTCTCTAAAGTTAAGACCTATTGAAAGCATAATCAGATTAACAGTCAAACAACTTCCTATTTACTTAAATCTGTTCTGTCAACTTTTGCTTAAATAAAACCTAAAGGAACATTACAAGGATACATTTGCTACTTAGTGATCAGTGGTCTCTAAAGTTGAGACCTGTTGAAAGTATAATCAGGTTAACAGTCAAATAACTTCCTGTTTACTTAAATCTGTTCTGTCAACTTTTGCCTGAATAAAACCTAAGAAACATTCTCTTTCAATATTATCATTATCTATTCCATCAGGTCGTATAAAGGTGGGAATGAAATTAACCATTGTAAACCCGGCTCGGTGGCTCAGCCTGTAATCCCGCGCCTTTGGGAGGCTGAGGTGAGTGGATTGCCTGAGCCCGCGGGTTCGAGACCCGCCTGGGCAGAGAGATCTCATCTCTACAATAAATCAAAAAATCAACTAGGCGTGGTAGCGCGTGCCTGTAATTCCGGCTACTCGGAAGGCTGAGGCGGAAGGATTGCCGGAGCCCAGCAGGTCGAGGCTGCGGTGGCCGGGAGCGGCCACTGCACTCGTCTGGGCGACCGAGTGAGACTCCAACTCAAAAAAAAAAAGAAGAAGAAGAAATTCAATTGTAAATGGGAAAAAAAAGACACTGACTTTTTAAAAAATAAGGAATTTGCTTAAGCCAATTGTTTAAATGCCCAATGTTCTTTGGGTCTAAATTAATTTCTGATAAGAGATATTTTCTTTTTAAGTATGACAGTATTCTGATCAGAATTGACATCCAGTAAACACTGAATGTCTAACACAAAACCTTGTATTATATGTACTTCAGGAAGTAGGGAACAAGTCCCACATGCATTGATGCTGCTATAACAAACTCTTTTACAAACAAGAGCCTTGGCAGTGCGTTGGGCGGTCCCACGGATCTGTCTCTTGCTTCAACAGTGTTTGGACGGAACAGACCCAGGGACTCCCTCTCTTCCAGCCTCCCACTGCCCTCCGATCTCCTCTCTACTTGCAACCTCTGAGACCACCTTCTCGGCCACCTCCTGTTTCTGGGACCAGCGACCACCGTTTTTGCAGTTAGCTCCTTTTTGCCGACCAACCCTGAGCTCCCAGGTTCGCCAGAATTATTCCACCGAGGTGGAGGCAGCCGTCAACCGCCTGGTCAATTTGCATCTGCGGGCCTCCTACACCTCCCTCTCTCTGGGCTTCTATTTCGACGGCGACGATGTGGCTCTGGAAGGTGTGGGCCACTTCTTCCGCGAATTAGCGGAGGAGAAGCACGAGGGCGCCGAGCGTCTCTTGAAGATGCAAAACCAGCGTGGCGGCCGCGCCCTCTTCCAGGATACCCAGAAGCCCTCTCAAGATGAGTGGGGTAAAACCCTGGATGCTATGGAAGCCGCCATGGCCTTAGAGAAGAGCCTGAACCAAGCCCTTTTGGACCTTCATGCCCTGGGATCCACAGACCCCCATCTCTGTGACTTCCTGGAGAACCACTTCCTAGATGAGGAGGTGAAACTCATCAAGAAGATGGGTGACCACCTGACCAACCTTCGCAGGCTGACCCAGCCCGAGTCTGGGCTGGGCGAGTATCTCTTCGAAAGGCTCACCCTCAAGCGGCCTCTGGGGGGGCCCCCTCTCAAAGTATCAGGGCTTCTTCTGCCAGAGCCTCCCCCTCCAGCCACTGGGCAGCTTTTTAACCACCCTGGACCACATAAAAATAAAGGTTTTTGCAGCAAAAAAAAAACAAGAGCCTTGTATTTTCTCAGTCTAAAGAGTCAATGATGTATTATTTCTGGCTCAGGTATCTATGAAGCTCAGGTTAAATTATCTAATCAACAATATTTTATTTTCCTTATCTACCCCAAATAAGCGTGAGTTCGTTATACTATATGGGTTCTTAACACTATACTCATAATGTAATAGTGTTAAAGAACATGAGATTCAAACTAAGAGGGAAATCTCAAGACAGGTTGCAAACATGTGGAAGAGAATGCCAAATAAAGTGAGATCAATCACAATGATATCTCTAACTAGAGGTGGTGGAAGCTGGGGGTGTGGGAGACGCAACTGATCTGGACCACCTAGTTAAAAGTTCAAACCAGTCAAAGCTGAGAGAAGATGAAGACCAAATGCAAAGTCATTATCCCATCAATCTCTCATCTTACTGAAAAAGTGAGGAACATGAACTCTGGAAGTAATTTCTTTCCCTCTCACCTAGGTGGACTCTACAGAAAGAAGCATCAGTAAGTTTTTAAGGAATTGTGAACGCAAAGATAAGCTCACAGCCAAAGATTCCAAATTATCTGAAAAGTGTGGAGACCATATAATTACATAACAAACCAAAATACACCCAAGAAAATAGTAGTACTAGCAATCAGAAGAAGACATTAAAAGAAGTATAATTAATTAAAGTTAATTAAGCAAGGACGAAGATGGAAGGAAGGAGAAGAAATGAGAACGAAGCAAGAACCAGATCATGTAGCACTTCCTAGGCCAAAAGAAGAATGGGCTTCTTTCACTTGATAAGTGAAGCCATCAGAGGGTTTTAAATAGGAAGTCCAATAAAGTATGAAACAAAAGCAAATTGCCATTAGGATCCATTAGAGATTTTACACACACACAGACACACACACACACACACACACACACACACACACATGCATCTACACACACACATATATATATGTTAGATTTAGATAAATAGACACACAGAGTAGATAAAGATACAAATGTAGACATATGTCAGAAAAATTGATGGATAGGTCAAATAAAAGAATGGTTGTAGATGAAGTTAAAATTGATGGCCTGAAAACACTATGGATAGTAGATACCAAAAATCTATAATAGCTCAATAGGAATGCCAAAAGAATAGAACAGAGAACATGGAATTAAGGATGGTAATTATAGAAATGACCAAATAGTTATAGATCATACCTAAGATGCCATCAACAAAGGAAGTACTATAAAAAAAATGTTTAGGCAGAAATGGAGGAAACAACTGCTTCCTGATTGTATTATACTGTTTATTACACTCTAATTCAAATATGAGGGGGTGCCCCACCCAAAAAATGGAGCTATCTTTTAGAGGGTCTCTTGCTAGGTAAGTGTTCTAGGAACTCACTGACATCATTGTGGGAGCTTGTTGTGAGAGGCTACATTCAGTTTCAGTGAATTTTGTTTTTGGAGATTCTTTCAACACATCTGTCCACTTTATGATAGGTGATTTACAAGTGCACTTGCCCACATTGAACTGAGTGTTCAGCAGTTTTTGGTCAAAAACAGCATGACCCCTGTGCCTTCCTATTCGCCTGATCTCGCCCCCAGTGACATTTTTTGTTTGTTTTTCTGCATGAAAAAAAATATTCAAAGGGAAACGTTTTGTCAGTATGGAAGAGATGAAAGAAAAAATGACAGAAGCAATGAAAGACATCAAATTGACTAGTTCAAAAACTGTTTTGAGCAGTGGAAAAAGCATCTTCACAGGTGTATGGCATCATTCAATGAAGACTACATTGAAGGTGACTGAAGTTTAAACAATTTTTTTTTTGAGTCGGAGTCTCACTCTGTCACCCAGACTGGAGTGCAGTGGCCACTCCCGGCCACCGCAGCCTCGACCTGCTGGGCTCCGGCGATCCTTCCGCCTCAGCCTTCCAAGTAGCTGGAACTACAGGCGCGCGCTACCATGCCCAGCTAATTTTTGATTTGTTGTAGAGATGAGGTCTCATCAAGTTGCCGAGGTGGGTCTCAAACCCACGGGCTCAGGCAATCCACTCACCTCAGCCTCCCAAAGGCGCGGGATTACAGGCTGAGCCACTGAGCCCAGCTAACAATTTTTAAGTAAATAAATTCCATTCTTGTGTCTCCCCTGCTCCATATACTTGTGTGTATTGGGAAGTATTATGCAGACAGAATGAGAGGCCAGAAGGTGATCAGGCAAATTCTCTGGAGGACTATGAGACTTTTGAAAAGAAACTTAAGTAATGAGTCAAATGAGAAGTTAGTAATGTAAGGAAAGGCACTCTCAGTGAATGATCTTAAATTTGAAATGAGTTGGACATGTTCAAGGATTATTAAGAAAACCACTGTGACAGTGGCAGAGCAAGCAAGGAAGAAGATGGAAGGAAGGAGAAGAAATAAGAACGAAGCAAGAACCAGATCGTGTAGCACTTCCTAGGCCAAAAGAAGAATGGGCCTTCTTTCGCTTATGATAAGTGAAGCCATCAGAGGGTTTTAAATATGAAGTCCAATAACGTAATATATACTTTAAGACATCACTGTAGATTCTTTCTGGAGAATAGAAAACAGCATGGAACAATGAGGGAAGTATATTGAAAAATGATCATACTCAGTGATCTATCACAGAAACAAAGTACAGAATACCGTATGTTCTCACTTATAAGTGAACCTTGAACAATTATCATAATACTATAGGAAATAGATTGGTAGTAGTGTAAAATTGGCAGGAGGTGGGGTTGGCAGTTGAGGGAAACTGCTAGGGGAGGGAGGGGCATACCTCATCAACAAGGGTACCTGCCTAGTCAACATCTGTATCCCTAACCCTGAATTATACCCCACATCTTTAAAATAAAATTTTTTAAAAAATGTATTTTTATCTTAATTGTTTATTAAGTCAGCTTGATTTATCAGTATTTATTATTTAACAAAAGTATAATGTAAATTTAATGTGAATTTCAGCACTATTTTTAAAATAATTCTTTCTAGTCAGCACATGTTATTTATGCAATGCTATTTATGATATATGATTTGATTTTTTTTCCTCTTGACTAGCTGGAATAGCTTTATACTAATCTCTAAACACACATTCATCTAATTTCTTTGACAATAAATAGTAAGACTTTGAAAAATGTTTTCCTAGGTTTGGAGGTAAAGGGATTAGGCTGTTAAAGAATGAGAAAACAGATGACTCTCAGACAAAAAGTCTTAATTTATATTCATTGATTGGTTTATATTAATGAGCCAATTGTTATAACAACAAAATGAGTATGTACTACATGTAGATTAATTTTAATCTAAATATCATGGCAATTTATTCTGAATTCTGAGGAACTATGTTATCTTTAAATGTTACATTCACCAATGACAGAAGCCTCTCCAAGTAAGAGTCACAGAATAGTTGTGTTGAGTTATTGCAATGTGCTAACCATTATGCAAAGTGTTTGCATGCTTCATCTCATTAAATCCTCATGACTATTAGATTTGGGTATTGCCGTTCCTGTTTTACAGGTGAGGAAGCTCTGTCTCAGAAAAGTTGAGTCATTTTTTGTTGTTGTTTATAGTCAAATGACTAATGTTAAACTGTTTTGGCCTCACAAACCAAACCAGCTGTTCTCTCCCTCAGGTCAATCAGACACAAGATGCAGAGGACTGGGAGAAATGGTTGTTTAATCTGATACCATGTAATCAGGGAGCAAATCAGTGTGTTAACCTGAAAAAAAAAAAATCACTCCCTGACAGTACAACTTACTCAGAATTTATACTCCATAACCCCCTCTCCACCCCCAAGCCTAAACTAACAAGTTATGAATCAAGATCTCCTAAGCCCTTCACCAACCACCAAGGCCGAATTAACAAAGGCTATGGGCAGTTTTGACATGACCCAAGATCTAATCATGATGATAGTTCCTTAAGGAGAAATGAGAAATTACAGCAGTCAAAAAAGTTACCTTGGTACATTTAGATAAAAAACTTCAAACAAAACATAGTAAATATACAAAACCTCTGTTCCCAGAATTATTGTCTATAATAAAACCTGATATACTACATCACATAAAATAAAAATGGCAGACCTGATACCGATTTCAGCCCAGTTACTAACTGGTGGTGTGATTTGGAGTGAGTTACTGAAACAGTTTAGGGTACATTTTTATCTGTAAAAGTATAAATGTAAAAATTCACCTTTAAAATATTGTGGAACCACTGCTATGAAACTTGAAGGGCCAAGTATATACAGAGATGACTTCATTTCTAATAAAACTATAATGTCTCACTTTAGTTCATACTAGAGAAGAGTTGAAAGTGTAAGTCAATTGAGATAACTAAAATTTATTTGTATACAATTATAAAGGTTTGAGAGGAATAAAAATTTAAAATGTCAAATATATTGAATCTAATAAGAAGATGTCTTATTTCAAGGGCTATTTAAAATTTCTAATTCATTTTTGCATCAACTATTATAGTGTGAGGTTATGTTTCTTGATTAAGGAGGGTGCATTTCCCCCTTTGTAAATTAAAGTTTTATTTTGAGCATTTCAATATTTGAATAATAGAAGGAAAAGTCAAGTCGGTCAAAGTTCTCAAACATTAATTCGAATTACCCAGTAGAAAGAATCCATGGTTAAGGTTTCTACATTTGAAAAAGATCTTGCACAAAATTGGAGAAATGTTTATTTTAGTAGAATAAAAATGACATTGTAGCTCCCTGATGGAAATAATCCTGAAGTCAGATATAAACAGACTCTGAGAGGAAAGATAAAATGTATTTAAACTAAGTTATAAGGGCATAAAAATGTAATAGATTTTGATGACATCATAAGTTTTGCAGCAGAAGTGGGAGATTTCAATTTGAGACTGCGATTTTATTTTTATTTTCTTAGGAAAAGAAGAAAAGTTTTCTTAAATGATTAAAAACTGGCCATAAAACGTTCAAGAGAAGTAGAAGCCTACAATCAGGGATTTGTTTTAGTGAACACTTCGAGCTTAGCCTTTTCAAAAATATGTTTTCCTGTCATCAACTTATCTTAAGAAACTGTGGACTGGGAATA